TGTTCAGGTCATTAGTTTCTCCAACTGTTGGGTTTTCATACAACAACTTGTGTTTCAAGTCAAGTATTGCTTTTTAAATTTTTGCAAGTTGTAAAAGTGCATTTAACTTGAAAACTCATTGTGTTTTCCACAGTCCACTGCCTTTCATGTGCTGTGCATTTCATTCATATCTTATGTCATAAGATCTAAGGATATAAAGTGATGTATGTTCCAGAAAAGCACACGGAATTATAATAATCAGAAAAAATAAAAGTAATTCTTTATGTTGTGTGGTCCTTTTTAGAACGACACAGGTGTATTCACAGTTGTTAAAAATATTCTGCATCTGTGAATATAACTAAATTAATGTTGTGTTTCCTAACTTACAGGAAAAATGAATGGAATATTTGACAGCAATATTTTCACTCTAAAATGTGGTTGAGTTTTGTTCTCTTTAGTTTGTTTTTTTAACCTGAGGGTTTGTTTGCTTGTTTCTTAGCTAGCATAAAAGGAAAATTCACAGCTTATACATAGTTTAACAAGAAAGTTTATACCAATTGTTTAATGAAACCTGTGTACTTGCATTGCCTATGTACAAAATGCTTTCAAAAGTGCAAATGAAGTAAAATGCAATTATACTATATTTACATGCCTTTAAATGCCTGCTGTCATACTTCTAATACAGTTGTGCAGGTTGCAGTAAGAGAGCAAAAAACACTGCAGCGTTTCAGAAGGAACCATAAGCTCTGGAATTTAACTTTACAAAAATGGCAGCAGCGCTGCGACTTGCTGACTTCGACCGGGTAGACACGTATGTGACAGAGACGGCAAGAAATACCATTGCTGGGATGTCTCAGCGTGGCAGCTGGCGGCTCGGTAAAGACACAGAGCTGGCGGCTGCAGCTGCACCGCCCAGCCTTCCCAGAGAGATCTGAGCGTAGGTCACCACTGCCTAGCACCGAGGGAAACTCCTCGGAGACATCGGGGTGTAGCGGTTTCCTAGACGTGAGTTGGGTTAGCCCTCTGAAATGAGGTGGGTGGGCTATTCTAATCCTGTTCATAACATCCTAAATAAACTATCCCTTTTGTGTATGCCAGATTTTTCAAAAATATCCGCGTAGAAGATTTAAAATTATTTTGATTATGTAACTGCATTTAATCTCTGACCATCTTAGGGAAATCTCTCTCCCTGGAGTCCTGCATTTTGTTGTGTGGTAGCAAACAGCTCTGTGCTCGTGGCTGGAAGGCCCTAAAATGTTTTTCTTTCACTGTTTATAAAATGGCATGACCCTGGTATATATGTAAAATATGTAAAGAAAAGATGTAGCATACAGGTTTTGTCCCCTTTTTGTGATGGCATCAAAGGTTATTTGCTTGGGAATGTCAAAATGACATGACAGCACTGAAGCAACTGTATTCTCTCTGTTGTCTCTTTATTAGTGGATTTTTAGAACTGATTACAAATTGATTATCCTCAGATCTCTGAAGAGTTAGTCTCTACAATTATATTTACCTCCTGGCTGTCTTTGTGTGTGCAGATTAATTTATAAAATAGTTATATTTTCTTGTAGAAGTTCTTCAGCTTTAGATATATAAGAAAACTAATAAAATAATCAAACCCCAACCCCCAGTATGTTATGATTTTATTCTGATTTCACATTTTAATTTTCTACATACTTTACTGTAGGATAAAGAATGTTTTTTTTTCTTGTAAACTTTATCTTGTTCGTTTTTACAGTTTCTTGATACTACTGTCAAACTAATTTTTTATCCTTAATAGAAAAAGATCAATCCTAAAAAATATCCCAGCAATATTATAGGAGCTATAAATATGCTTCATAAACCACATGATTTTATTTGGTTATTAGTAATGTTTACTTTCTTGAAAAGAAGAATAAACTTTCAAAATACTGGAAGCTAAAAGGATAATTCACAACTGGCAGGGCCCAAGAATAGGTGTTCAATAGTATCTCATACAATATTATGAGTGATGGCTTTCTCTTACTCATGGTTATAAGCTAAAATGCTGTAAATGCTCTAAGAAGTTTCTTAAACTTGAATTATTATGATGGTAATCACCCTCAGCATGTTTGCAGATGACACCAAGCTGTGTGGTGTTATGGACACGCTGGAGGGAAGGGATGCCATCCAGAGGGACCTTGACAGGCTGGAGAGGTGGGCCTGTGAGAACCTCATGAAGTTCAACGAGGCCAAGTGCAAAGTCCTGCACGTGGGTCGGGGCAATCCCATGCACAAGTACAGGCTGAGCGGAGAACGGGTTGAGAGCAGCCCTGAGGAAAAGGACTTGGGAATGCTGGTGGATGAGAAGCTCAACATGAGCCGGCAATGTGTGCTGGCAGCCCAGAAAGCCAACCGTATCCTGGGCTGCATCCAAAGAAGCGTGGCCAGCAGGTCGAGGGAAGTGATTCTGCCCCTCTACTCAGCTCTCGTGAGACCTCACTTGGAGTATTGCGTCCAGTTCTGGAGCCCCCAACACAAGAAGGACATGGACCAGCTGGAGAGGGTCCAGAGGAGGGCCACGAAGATGATAAGAGGGCTGGAGCACCTTTCCTGGAATACTGCATTCAGCTCTGGAGTCCCCAACACAAGAAGGACATGGAGCTGCTGGAGTGGATCCAGAGAAGGGCCACGAAGATGATCCGAGGGCTGGAGCACCCCTCTCCTCTGAAGACGGGCTGAGAGAGTTGGGGCTGTTCAGCCTGGAGAAGAGAAGGCTCTGGGGTGATCTTCTAGCAGCTTTCCAGTACTTCAAGGGGGCCTACAGGAAAGCTGGAGAGGGACTTTTTACGAGGGCGTGTAGTGATAGGACAAGGGGCAATGGCTTTAAACTGAAAGAGGGTAGTTTTAGATTAGATCTAAGGAAGAAATTTTTCACTCAGAGGGTGGTGAGGCAGTGGAACAGGTTGCCCAGAGAAGTTGTAGATGGCCCATCCCTGGAAGTGTTCACGGCCGGGTTGGATGAGGCTTTGGGCAACCTGGTGTAGTGGAGGGTTTCCCTGCCCATGGCATGGGGGTTGGAATAGATGATCTTTGGTCTATGATTCTGTGATATTTCATCTTATGTTGGTTTAATTTTAAAGATGTATAATAAATATGGCCTGATTCTGCCTTCATTGACTTTGATGTTTACAATTAAGAAACTTTTGGAATTAATTCTAATCTATACTAATATACATAAAATCAGAGTTAAACATGTAGTATAGCAAATAATTCTACAGTTATACACATTCTCAGTCTTTAAGTTAAGCCCTTTTAACAGTACTGCTGTACTGCATGATATTTGCTATTAAATGACAGCAGGATTTTTACAATCTGAATGTAGAATTTTTGAATACATGAAGTATTTTAGTATATCTCAGCTGACTGCATATGCGTTTTTAAAATTGTCACTATCAGCATTTAAGTTATTATATTTATGAAAAAGACAAGTGATTGCATCTCAGCTTCATTTTGAATTTTTTTACTTTTACCTTTCCAGAGATTTAAGCCAGTTGTCTGTCTTTTCTCAGTAATAAAAATGGCATTCCATCTGAACCTCTTCTCTAAAGCACAGAGTCACAGTAATAGGATTTATTATTTTCATTATACTGCCACAACTGTGCTAAAGTAGTTGCAGTCTATGGTGTATTGAGTGATTGCATCTTTATCCAACAATTCTGTCCCTCTGAGTAGAGGTACTTGGATATTTTTTAATGGATGGAGGGGGAGGCAAAAAGACTGATGTAATCAAAATTTTTTATGTAGTTGTTCTGAATTCAGTAAGACCTTAGAAAGTTTTTCGGGTGTTGTATGGGATAGTTGCTTAGGAAGACAGAATTACCCCAGTAGAAACAATAAAGAGCTTAGTGGTAGACGTGCTGCCAGTGAAGGAGGAGAGCTGGGCTCGGGTCCTCCTCTGCCTTAGACAGAGGGACCAGAGCTGCTGCCAGGAGAGGTTCCAGGTTCCCAGGCTATTTGTTGACTGTTACGGAGTTCATCTCTCTGTCTGCTCTGTACAGGTTGTATCGTGTATGAACCCTAAAAAATCGTCCATGTCCATGCTACTGAATAAAATACATCATTGGTTGCTCCTGATGCCAAGGAGAAGCCCAAGACTTTTCCCTGAGGACTGAGAGTGACTGCCTTCTTGCTTACTTGAGTGGATTGCCTGGGGTGCCTGTTGGCCTCTGAACTGCTCCTTTGTGGTTTTTGCAAGAGTCTTTGTCAGTAGCCAAAATTTTGCCAAGGTGCATGCTCTCAGTGAATAGTATGAAGGAGCCGTGCCCTGACCCTTCTTTGTTTACAAGTGTAGACTTAGCCAGATAAGAGGTATTGGTAATAAATTCATTTGGGCAGATGGAGGGAGAAAATTAGTACCTGTCATAATCCAGGTAAATGCTTTAGGCACTAGATTAACGGCTAGTTTAGGAAATCCTGGTACTTGTGCCACTAATTTATACAAGGATTGAAGTACTCCACCTGTTGACTGGATAAGCAGTGATTTTTCAGAACTTGCTTCTTTGGTGGTTGGTTGGTTGTTTTCTCCTTGTTTTTTTTTCTTTTCTAGTTTGGTAACAGGCAGAAAAAATAGGGATTTTCTCTTGTAGCCTTACTTGGTATTTTGTGTGCACTTTACTGGATAAACTGTCAAAAGATTGCTGTGGTAGTTTTTTGCAAAGATATCCTCTCGAAGAAATTGGCAGGTGCTAATCTCACCTGCAGAATAATTATATGGATTTTTATTCTAGAACAATCATCCTGCCTGCTCTCTTTTGCGCAGGGTCACTCCATAGTTGAGCAACAGAAGCTGGAGTCAGGGTGTGTGGGTTCTGCTCTGGTGATTTTCTTTGGCTGAGAGTTCTGTTTCTCTGTGCATCAGTTTGGAAGTAACGTGTACAGAGGTATGACTTTTGTGGGTAGTTTTGTGACCCAGATCCAGGAGCAAAGAAGTCTTGTTAGTATCACTACTGTCATTTGACCTTCAAAATGCAAAATGCCCTGCTTATAATAATTTGTTTATTGCAGTAATAGACAATGGCACAAGTTAAGATGCAGACTACAGCAAACCTGTCCGGACCTACCATGTCCCCTATGGTGCTACCCCTACCAGCTACAACTACAAATACACTGGGTCTGCCGTCCTCAATGAATGGGTCCATTTCGGAATCAACTGCCAGCTGTAGCAGTCCTACTGCCGGCCTTGTGGATCCCACGCCTTCTAGCAATTCACCAGGTAAGCTGGTCCAGGTATATTCTCTTTCGTGTTCAAATGAATCTTTTTGATGATGACTTGTTAATTTAAAAACAAACAAACAAACAAACAAACAAACAAAAAACAGCAAAAAGTTAGGTCTTAAAGAGGATTAAAGAAAAAAAATCCTGTAGAAAAATATTTTGGCTAAATAGACTGTTTACTAAGTTAAGGTTCTTTGACTGAACTCAGACTTACAGTGCAGCGTTGGTCAATGATAGAAAAGCTCAGAAAAGAACATGTCTATTTTGTAAAATTCTGAGCGTATTTTTATGGAGAAGTTTTAGTGGTGTAGGAAGGCCTCCAAGTGTACTTCTCTTCCCTAGAACAGAATGTCTTCAAACTGCTTGGCAGTATTTGGTGTTTCCTTTGTAGCCTAATAAATGGTGTAGTTCTGATGCTGGACTGGATATAAAATACAGAAATTTTATCCTAAAAAATTAAGCAAGAAATGACAGTTTGTGTTAGGGGTAAACACAAATAAGTTGAAAAAGAGATAGCAGAAGGCTAAAACATAGTAAGACAGTATACATGAAGTAAGTAGTATAAGAAAAGCCATACAAAATCCTTAAAGAGGGAGCAAAAGTGTTCTTTGGGAGTGGTTTAGAGTGGCTTCATTATTGTGAGAAAAATCTGAAACACTGGAAGGAGGCAGGGAGAAGCGAGTGAGGACCACAGGGTTTCATCTGCTATATTTATCTTGCAACCCTTAATGCTGTCCACTTCTGCTTCAAAATGTGGAGGAACCATTCTGAAAGAGAGTCAATTCCTGGAACCAGCACACTCCTAATAGTAAACTTTGACATAGAAAATGTAGCATATGTGTATGTCCTCCTAAACTGTCATCTTTTATAGAGACAATTTGGAAAGAAATAGTTATATTTTTTAAAATTGCATGTAATCAAAATGGTTATTGTGAAATGCATATTCTCATATGATTAATATGTAAATAGTATTTAAACATTGTATTTAGCATATTTGCAAAAATTATTTTTTAGCCAAAGTATTTTCTTTCTAAGCATGCTGCTGCTTTTGCAAAGCTTTGCAAAGTTGTGAAGAATACATTTCTCCACAAAAACTTTACAGACTCTTTATTTACAGCTCCTCTCCAAGATAACATGGCAAACCCCAAAGAGAAAACTCCAATGTGTCTGGTAAATGAGTTAGCCCGTTTCAATAGAATTCAACCCCAGTATAAGCTTCTGAATGAAAGAGGGCCTGCTCATGCCAAGGTAAGGTCACAGTTCCAGGTGATGAGCCATACCTTAAATGCTGAACAGATAATGTCATGGTCTGGACAAGTGCGCTTGTCGAACAGAGCCATGTTTCTAGTGTAAGGGTTTCTTACTCTTCTTTATTTTGCTTTTTTTTTTTTTTAACACTTTCAGAAAGTATGTCTGTATTTCTGTTGAAGCCTCGTAGATCATTTTGTACCTTACTTTGACTTCCACCTTTGAGTTTATATTTGTTGGTTTCTATAAAGACATTTTGAAGGTGCTTTCCAAGGTATCACCACCCTTTCTTAATCATTGTGGAGTGTTTGTTTTTTGAGCTGCATGAATCCTCCTCCCCAGTCAATGTGCCTCTGATAACTACCGCTGCATTTGTTTCATGGTAGTGCAGATGACGACAGTGCTAGTTTGTGTCATTTTTAAAAATGCTTACTGACACGATTCTGTGTCCGTAAAGTTAATTGCATTAATACCAGATCCTTGGATCTTGCATTATAGGGCACAAACTTTATTACTGTTCTTTCCTTTGAATTCTGTGCAGCTTTTAAGATTTACAGTGATATTAAGATTCATAATATAATCATAGCATTAAAGTTTTAGTGAACTGACAATTAATTCTGGTCAGTCCTCATATCAATTTGGATATCCAACGTAATTTCATACATACTAATTAGGATGCTTTCGGATGATAGGGATCACAGAGGGATATTCTCATGATTATAATTTTCAGATGTAATTTTGAATTTCCTCCCTAGTTAGGAGCAATCTGGGAGAGAAGAGAGCCTGAAAAACTCAGAGAGAAAATGGTGTAATTAAAAGCTGCTTTGTACTCAGTGTTTCTAGAGCAGCAAAACTGCGAGACTCGAGTGGGATCACACTGCAGACTAGTAATGGTTCCAGCTCATTGTGGACTGTCTCTCTGCCGTTGGCCCTTGTTTCTCAGTTACATGTTACGTTGTCAGCTAGCGCAGAGCTGATGGAAACCAGTAACCTTCTGGTTTGGCTGGTGTTTGTGCATCCTTTAAGCTGGTAGAAATGACGTCAGGAGGTTCAGGGCTGCTGAGAATCAACAGGCTTTTAGGATCTCTCATTGCAAATGGAAATTGAAATGCTCTTCCCCTTCCTATAAGCGTTTTGGTGGCACAGGATACACTGGTTGGTTGGGTTTAGTTTGCGGTTATGTTAAATCTGTTGCACTTTCTGTAACTTTTCACTGTTGTGTTGTGTGTTTGTTTTCTTGCCTTTTTTCTGTCATTGTGGCGCAAGAAGTGCTTTGGTTGTACCAAAAGATGTGGTTTTGGCTGTCCGTGTTCCTCTGCAGTAAAGAGATCTGAGTTATGTTATGTTCATACTCTAAATTTTAGCAGGAGATGAAATAGTTTACATATATTTGTTACTATTTTTAAAGGAACTAGTATCATTGAAATGACCTGAGCCCACATTAGCTGCGCTTTCGAAAGCCAGATTTTCAGTGGATTTCTTAATTTTTCAGTCTTTCGATTTACCTCTTATTATTTTTAATTGCAGTCATAGTAGTCAAAAAAAAAAAAGATATGTGCTTTGTAGGTTTGTTGTTGCTCAGAAGAATATTAAGTCTAATTTTGACCTGTGAAGCAAATGAGAACAACAAAGGAGGGAAGAAGATGAAGAACAAGGGTGATATTAATAAGATTATTCAGACTTTGTGTACCTTTCACCTACGAAAAGCAGACACATATAAATTATTATGACTGTTTTAGCAGTTTAGTATAATGTCTTGCTAGTAATAGGATGATACACTCGATAGAACATGTGAAACAGAGCTGAGTTTGTTGACCTGAAGGATGTAATGCTGCTGCTGCTGTTTGCCATTTAAGGAGCGTCTCACGTTGCTGTCCTTCTATACGTATTCTGTTCCTGTCCACTAGTGATTTTCCTGGTTTTAAGAGACATACTCTACAAGACAGCAGTCTGTGTCATGACCACAAATGCCAGTAAATTTTTATATCCTTTTTTCTAATTTTAAGTTTTGACAACTGGGATGAAATGGGAAGCTAGAAATGGTGGCGCTTCCTGACAGCGCAGTTAGGGTTTCTAGGAGCCTGCCCTCCAGGTGGATTCTTCATCGTAAGAAAAATCAGAAAGTCTTCGTTAGCATAAACAACGTTTTTGAGTATGTTAGATTGATCATTTCTTCTGTGCTTCTGTGTCAATGGCATCTTGGGAGAAAAATTTAAAAGAAGCAGTGGCAAAAGAAAGTGGATAGTGGTAAAGAGGGAAAGGAGTGAGGGACTTAGCAATTCCAAAGGCCAGGAAGGAAGAGAGAAAGTTCTACATGCAGAAAAAATGAGGAGGAAGGAATTGCCAGAGCTAAGGGAGGCTGACCTTACAAACACAGTGGAGTGAAAACTCTTTGAATACAAAGCATGGTGGCCTTTGTATTCCCACTCTCTAGCTGTTAGGTAATGAGGTTGGACATAACGTATACAAACTTCCTCAGAAAATTGGTGAGAAGTGCCTCTCAATCTGTAGCAGAACTGTCAGCTTGAATCTTGCAGGACTTGAGTACTTCATTGGCTGCTCCAGACTTTGTTTTTAGGCAGTTTTATTCCTTTAATTAAATTCTCACCTACTACTGTGTGTGTTTTTTTGCAGGATTTTTTATGTTAGATGGGCTCAGAAGGTTAGAGCTATGGCTATAGAAATTTACTGAGCAAGCCCTTTATTATCTTGAATTTCTGTTTATTGCTCTAAGCACTAAGGGGAGAGTTATAGGTAGATAAGTAGCCATTATTCATCATATTTTTATTTAAATTCAAGATTATTCTCCTCCTATAAAAATACTGCACTGATACTTTCTTGCAAGATATAAAATACATAAACTCCAGATCAAGAAATCAAATTTCAGTTCCTTTAGTTATGAGAATGTATGTTAATAGATAATTTGTATAATTATGGGTGTTTCGCTCTAGTTTCCAGCTTAGCTTTCAGGTGAGGGTGAGAGTAGGGTTTGACTGAATGCAAAATTAAGAAACTATTTCTCTCTTACCCCTTGTCTGTGAGGAAATTGTCATGACTGCTGTGGAAAAATAACATGGCAATAGGAACTGTGATACAGGGACTTCCACTGTGCTTCTGAAAATTACAGTAGGCCAAAACTCAAGCCTATAATTAAGATATGAGTATGTATTTATAGCATTCAGTTCATACGTACTGTGTGCATGTCTATAGAGCTGAGTTGGGAGGCACAATACATACTTGTGTTCAAATGCTTGTTTGCAAGTACATATTAAGTGAAAATATATGTAAAGGCAAATTTAAAGGTGGCCCATCACTCCCATCTCTAGATATCTGGTCCTGGATCTGGCAAGTCTAAATAATTTTAAAAATTCTAGAGCAAATAACTATCTAAATGAAAATTTTACTTTATAGACTGCTCACACTAATATGGAGATTTATTTATGTTACCTCAAGTAAGTTAGTTTTCTGTTTTTTCTGTTTTCTGAGTTGAGTACATCTTAGTTTACTGTGTGTATCTGACTATTAAATCCTGCCTTACATATATGGAATTGATATGGAAAAGATGTTGAGTTCTTGCCCTTCCTCCTCTCATTCTTAGATGCTCAAATTTAAACAGAGCATGTATGTATCTTACAGAAGACCAACTCTAATTCAGGACTTGCACAGTGTAGATACTGCTTGAAATAATGCTTTATTGCAGATTTTGAAATTTATATGGTTTTTTATCAGAAGTCCTTTTCTGAACTCTGAATTTTTACAGTTCCTGTCTTCACTATAGAATGCATATCAAAGAACTGCAGTTTCATTCGAATAGTTAATACTTCTTTTCTTTCTTACTTTATATTTTTGAACATACTTGAGTTGTGACTCTGCCCTAACAATACACATTATTTTCAGAAATTAGGTTGTGAGAGAAATTCTTTCACTGTGTAAAAATACTTAACCCAGATTCTCTGCTTCCTTGAAGAGTACCCAGTCATTTATATTCATTCAGCATTATTACAAAATTACTTCTCTTTTTAAGTAGCAGTCTTTACCTGTTTTCTACAGGTAAAAGTGGCTAAACGTGTTCAAATGTGTGAGGAAATGTGGTCTTAACTGACCTGTATATAGTTATCCAACAGCAGAGGACCAGTTTGCGCTTATTACTGCTTGGTTTAAATAATATTCTGTTCTTTGATAGTTGACATTAACATTATGCTATTTTACTTTGCCATTTAAAAGGCCAAATGTTGCCTGCTGATAAGGACCACTGATCTCTGTAAGAATCAGATGTGTTATCTGGGGGTTGAATATAACGAAAAGAGAGCACAGTTTCTCTTCAGCCCTGGAAGTTTTTATACAGATTGGTCTAATCCACAGTGATAATCTTGCCAGTGTTTACCTGTTCTTTGTCTTTGAAGATGTTTACAGTGCAGCTGACTCTCGGAGAACAGACCTGGGAAGCTGAAGGAAGCAGTATTAAAAAGGCCCAGCATGCTGCTGCTAGCAAAGCATTGAATGAAACTACCCTACCCAAACCAACGCCTAGACCACCCAAAAATAATGTTAACAATAATCCAGGTATGACATTTCCCTCTGTGTGTTAAATCTTGTTAAAGTGTTGGAATATTATACTGCTAATACATAATGTTAACAAGGTAGATGTTAAGTTGAAGGATGAGAATCGGCATAGCTGTCTTATGGGTATAATGAAGAAGCTCTAATGAATTGGCACAGGAGAGTTTTTAATTCAGCATTATTACAAAATTACTTCTCTTTTTAAGTAGCATACCTAAAATGGTTGAACTGTGAGTGAATATCGTATTTAGATAAGGCTCGGATGTATACTAAGTGATACTACGTGGTAACCAGTAGACAGACAGAACAAAACCAGGTTGAACTGACCATTACTACTAGTAAAAGTAACTAGTGGTAACTAGTTTTACTACTAGTAAAACATTTTTTGCAAAGAGTTACTTTAGCCAATTTTCCAATGAAATTTGAAATTTTATCCAGTTCAATCCTGTGGAATTGCATCTGTGGTGTAAATAAAAGGTCAGAATTTGGCATGAGAATTTTGACAGGTAATTTCCTGCATCTTAAATTTTCTTCATAGCAATCTGTGCTTTCGAAAAGCTTTTAGATAGCCTTAGAAACTGTTGTTTGGACAATACAAAAAGTGTATATTGGTGTCTTGCATCCATCGTTTTGAGGTGTCACCTATGAGTTGCCTTCTATGTATGCAACACCTTTTGTGGTACACATCTCAGCCACGTGCTCAATGATCTATTCTGTCTTGTTTGATAAAATAAATAAATAAATAAGAATACTTCTAACTGTATTTCACATTAATATAAAAGAGAGAAAACGGTAAGGGGAAAAAAGGTAATTTTTTTTTTTTTACACTTCTTTTCCTCCCCCTTTTTCCCCTTTTCCTTTCTGCTCTTTTTATTTCCCTCTACTACTCCTTTTTTAAAAAAATATCTTCTTCAGTTGCTTTCTTAAAATGGAGTAATTTTGCAGTTAATCTTCTCTGTGGTAGAAAAAAAGCAAAAGTAAGTTTCCTTTAGAGCTTGTGAGTACTATCCTGAGCATTAGCCACTAAGGATTGTTTGAGAGTGATGTGATAGTATTTGCCTGCTCCTTTGGAGATGAATAAATTGCTTCTCCAGACCCAGGACAGTGATTTTGGCCCATGTCCTTTGGAGTCACTGTGACTTTGGCTGTTTAGAAAGTAGGAGACTCACACCTCTATAAAAAGGGATCATGAGTTTAATTCTTGACATTGCAGACTATCACTCTACTTCTAGATTTTTTTTTTTTTTTTTGGCTTTGAACATATTCTTAAAGGGAAAACCAGGTAACAAAAGAAATGGGCTTTATAGAACCATGGAATCATGGAATCGTTTTGGTTGGTAGGAACCTCAGAATTCATTAAAAATTGTATCACTTAACACTGTAATTTTTCCCTAAGAAAGGTGTATTGTGTACGGACAGGTATTTTCTCATCAAAATGACGTTTTACATTTTTATTACATGGTTGAATTCATAGTCAGTCCTTGCTCTGGAAGATGCCAAAATTGTTGTGATAGAGGTTTTTTAATAAGTATTCATCATTTGGCATATAAACCTTCAATGACAGACTGACAAATTCATCATAGCTGTTCTAAGGCTAGATTCATTTGAACCTCTTATGAAAATATTTTGAGAAAATATTAACTCCTTTTGATTGGAATGTACACTTACCTCATTTAGGATTTTCTTACAACAGCACAAGTGGGGAATACTGTAGCTGAGCATTTTATTAAAAAAAAAAATGAAGTCACAGTGTAGGTTTCTATTTGGCATTTTGGAGACCATGCAAGTGGGCAAGTGCTGGCTGCTTTCTGTTTTTGTGTTCTGTCACCAGTAGATGGCTGTAATGACACTGATTTCCAGTAGTCGTATTTTCAGTTAGATATTCCTGTTAGATCATCAGTTTTTAGTCATAGCCTTAAGTTTTCAAGTCTTGCAAATAAAACATCTTTTCTAACTTGTGGTAAGATTGCTAAATGAGTGCAGTAGTACCTATTACTGCTTGCTTGTTTCACTGCCTCTTTACTCTATTTGTGGTTTTATTTAATGGTATTCTGTGGCAAGAGACATTACTCTTTTATCTTTATAGTTTCAGAAAGTGTCATAATGTATTATAAGCACTTTGGAAGGATGAATAACCGTCTTGATTATAGCACTGACTTTCTTATCCAGATGTGAAGATTAATCTACTGAAACTGCATTGAGTGTGCACTGAGATAAATGTTCTTTTTCATTGCATGTGATCAAGTTGGCATCTATACTCCTGTCTTTTAGAGAAACTGAAATGTCATTGTAGTTGCTTCTTTTTTAGTTTAAGAACACAAAAATATCATGCAGCTCTCTCTCTGCTGCTCATCTCAGTCCTGCTTGTGTGTTTTGCAGTATTTGTAATTTAAGTGCCTTATGTGTATTCTTTGTATTTTGCAGGCAGTATAACGCCAACAGTGGAGCTGAATGGTCTGGCTATGAAAAGAGGGGAGCCTGCCATCTACAGGCCACTAGATCCAAAGCCAATTCCCAATTATAGAGCAAATTATAATTTTCGGGGCATGTACAATCAGAGGTTGGTACTTTTTCTGTTATTTGATGTTTTTTTGTCCTTTGCCTATCAGTGTGTTCTAAATCCTTATGAACTTTGTAGGTTATTTCAGAGTAAAATAAAACTAACATTTTTACTAAGGAGAGTCTGTGCAGCCCTATTTAGAAACATACATAATCTCCTTGTAGAAAAGACAGGTGCCTGAAGTATGTCAAAAGGAATAAAGACATGTAAACCAACTGTTTCTATTTTTTTTAATGTACATACTGGAGTTACAGCCTACAGCCGTGGCGGTGAGGAGGCAGAGCACTAACTTCAGAGAGAGGTTTTACTTCTCTTTGCTGTTATTTTGTGATTAGAATCTGTGTCATTAAAAATGAAGCACTTTTTTTGTAAGAAATTGGATATAAAATTAGAAGGGCTGCATTTTGAAAACTGGCTCGAAATCATTTACAGGTTTCCACTTTTTAACCATCTGCCTGGTCAACTATCTCAGTTCCTTAATCCTCGGTGTTTGATTATAAAAATCCTTTATTTCATAGTTCAGAAATGTATATTCAGAGCCCTCCATCAATACTATCATTACTGTAGCAAGTTGGAGTAATCGCAGAGAAGACGTATTCAAAATTTTTGTTTTAAACTATGAAATTCTTAAAGATGAAAAAGTTTGAAAATTTAAGTACACGGAGCAATTTTCTTAACAGACCATCTCAATATTGTATTCTTCAATATGTTCCAAATTTTTGAAACATTTTCATCTTTGATATTTGTACAATTTTAGTGCAGATAGAAAAACTGTTCTAGCCCATGCTGAATTAAATGTAAATGGTATCTAATGCAACAGTCTGAGAGAAACTTAAGGTAATATATTTATTAATTTGCAATCTCAAGAACTTCTTTCTCTGAGGTGGATATTCTTCCCGTTTTTCTTATTTTTCCTCAGAGGAACTGTATTAGATCAGGTCTTTTGGAGCTCCAAAAGTGATACCAGGTGCTATCTGTAAAATAAGAAAAAAAGAAAACAGGTCAGGAATTTCTAATGTTGCCTTTCTTATAAAGCTTTACTTAATGGATCTCCTATTATTTTTTATGCATCTCATCAAAAAGAATGAGGTTATGAACTCTGAGGAAGTGTTTTGGTTCAAAATTACTCTTTTATTAGGTATTGAATTTACAGCAATGTTGAAAAATTAAGGAGTTCAAAATGAAAATGCAGTATTTCAGAATTGTCTGAGGAGGATATTTCAGTTGACCTAATCTTATTTTACTTTTTCTTAGATTTTTAAATCATGATAACTTTAGGTTTTTAACATTTCATTCTGTTTTTTTTTTTTTTTTTAATGGCAACAATATCTAGAACTGTAAAAGACAAACAAACAAAAATAACCTGGAAGAAAACTCTTTCATTGCTCTACAGAACAGTGCCTGATTATTGTATTACTTGTGTTGTATTTCTAGTCACTCTTGACCTGAGCCTCCACTTACATATGTCATGGTTTAAAAAGCTAACTATGATGCCTGAAATGAGTTTTGTTAATATTTAGAAATCCTACATTTACTTGCATTACTTTTATAATGAGATTAGTTTGACTAACAAATAAAAAAGCTCAGCTGGAAAAAATGCAAACCAGTAAAAATATAAAATGGTGAATTCTGGAATCTAAACTTTGTTACTGAAACATATTTGTGTAAGCAGAACCCTGAAACACCAATTGCTTATTTCTTTTTATAGAAAATGATTAGTATTTCTCGTGCAATCTTTAAGTTTACTCCTTTGGGAACTTTCTTTCATGGCAACTGTGTTCCCATGTTAGAGTAAGATGGTACATGAACCTTATCTCTCTGGGTGCATTAGATAGCCAGGGGCATTTGATTTTCTGATCACCAAACAAACAGGCAGGGTGGGACAGGCGGCCAGAATCTCTGCTTGCCTACTTCACTGTGCTTATTTGAGTGCAGTTACCCACGCAGGATGGCTAATAATACTGTGGCTAGTGAATTGATAAGTAACTGAAACTAAGTAGTAAATAACTAGGCATGCTTGTCTATCTGCATGAACATGTACCCCCTATACATATACTGGCCCACACACAAATACCAGAGTAAAGAGGAAACAGAATGAATAGTACTATCTTGGGACTACTCCTGTCTTGGAAGTAATTGTTCATCGCCTTGTTTTGCATCAGGAGGTGCTGGTCCATTATGATCTGGGTAAGAAAGGCACTTAGGCTCTGCAAGATGTCATTTAAAATGCTATTTATTAGACCTAATGCTATCAAAAGAGAATAGCGCAGACAGTCTTCAGATTCTGGGAGCCCTGAGCGGTGTAGCACTGAACAGGACTGCGACCCACGTGCGGCGTGCCGTGCAGACCTGTGGGCAGCAAAGATTCTCCCCTTCTCGGTCATTTGTGCTCTTACAGGGATTTTCTTACAAGGAGACAACTCTGTCATTGCTATAGTCAAAGCAGAAATCCTGTTCACATGAGAACTTCTTGCTGCGCTGTTAGATAAAGGCAAGGCCATGCAGGTGGTACCAAGGGGGTGCTGCTGGCAGATCCCTCTCTTGCAGAGAGTCTGTCCTGCAGCTGAGGGACTTCTGCAGCACAGCCCCATCCTACGAGCCACGCTGGGCACGGGCCCTGCCACACGGCACAGCCTGCGCCGACTCTGGCTGGCAGCAGCGTGGGTCACTGGCTCCTCGATGCGCAGGATCCTGCCCCTCTACCCATCGGGATCGCTGTGCACCTCCTACCCAGCCTCACCGGAGGGAAGTCTGGAGGTAGATTCTGGATCTGTTGTAATAGCAAGCAAAGTCTCAAATATGAAGCACATGCAGTAGTACTGTACTATATTCCCGCGGTATGATATGTTACATTTATTAGCTTCTACTGCCATGTTGTATTTAGCATTTGTTTGCTGATTTTTAGCAGTTGGGTAGTAGAATAGAAGTGGTGTTGCAGTTCCCAAGTAAATGCAGATCATATAGACTGTTTAAAAAAAAGATTTGAAGAATAATGTAGGTAATGCTGTAATCAGTATTTTTCAATTTCTTAATTTCTGGCTGTAGATTATTATCTGTTATTGAAACATACAAAATATGTTAAGTAAGCTGAAGCTGTTTTTGTCTTTTATACTGTGACTAAATTCCCTTTACTGATCTCTGTTTAAAAACATGTTCTTTTCAAATAGGTGAAGATACAGATTAGGAGATTGTGTTAGGGAACTTTGATTCTGGCAAGATGAATGGCTTGAGGAAAAACTAAAGTATGAAGTTCATCCCAGGACATATCTTTAGACCAGTTTAGTCTGGTGTTTCAAGTGGCACAAAAGATCCTTTTCAGTAACTCGTGGAAATGTGGTCTAAGAGCTGCTATTTGTATGCAAAGTTGAGGATTAGCTTCCCTGTCAGGCTAAGATGATTTATGTTGAGGTGGCAATGATTCCTTCTCCTTCCTTTGTCCCCAGCCTTTGTGTCCCTGCAAGTTTCCTGGCTCCAGCACTGGGACTTGAGCTGCTTGAAAATAAATCAATTTTTGGGAGGAGAGGAAGGGAAAAGTTACTCCTAGACTTACAACTGTACTTAAACACTGCCTCACCTACTCACCCAAGAGCTTGTGCCCTCACTGGAGAGGGGACAGGAATGTGTGTCTGGAAGTTAAGGGCAGCTCAGGTTGATTTAAGCATGTGAAGAGCTACACTCTCACATGCAGTAGAACATATTTATATGGGCAGTGTGTTGCACAGAGGATATTGAAACAGATTTACATGCAAGGTGCAAAGGTCTGCAGCTGATGGCGTAAATTGATACTGAAGGTGAAAGTTACTTCCTGGAAAAAACAAAAGTGGACAAGTGAGAGGAAAAAAAGAGTAAGGGGAAGGTTTTCCTAGTGGACAGCTTGGAAGGGAAGTGGTGAGGTCTCCCAAATGAGCATCCTCCTCTGGCTGTCCTTTCCCATGCAGCAAGTGTTCCCTGTAACAGTTTACCATAGTAAATCTGTGTTTTTCATCAGGACCTACTCAAGCTCCCTGTTGCTTGTTCTTGTGTATGATGCTGGTAGTGCTGCATCAGGGCAGGTGTTGAATGCTGATTGCTTATTGAGCTTTGTGCATGCATGTTCCTGGGCTCAGTAATGTGTACCAAAAGCTACTGCCAAGGGGTGGGGAAAGTACAGTACAGTATAGGTTCAACACTGTCAAAGTATTGGTATTTTTAAGTGAAGAGCCTGAACAGCAGAGGGAGAACAGCAAGGGAAAAATACAGCCAGAGAAACTGGAGAACACTGGCCAGACAGCTTCAGTGAAGGGTTACAGAGCTGCAAGTGGAAGGCAGGCTACAGAATTGCAAATGCAAAACTCTTAGCAGGGCAGAGGGTAAGGCATTTAAGGCAGTGTGTAACACCAAGGTAAGGTGTTAGCCTTGCGAGTATCTTCCCGTGCTAAGTTAGGAAGTGCAAGGGCAAGTCTGCCCCCCTCTTAGGGGATAGTTAAGTAGATAAAATACAGTCCAGTTTGAAAGTGGATGAGGTATGGATGTATTAACCTGGCATTTCACGCAAGCTAGTGAATGCAATACTCACTAGGTTGTTAACAGCGCTGGGCCATTGCCATTACACTGCATCTCAACTCGAGCTGATAGAGTCTGTGGGATGCTGAGTTGAATCACGTGAAGTTATCAGCTTAGATCTCTGCTAGGTTTGGTATCTGTATACTGCAGTTCATTTCACAATATGGATAAGAACTTCAAACTTCTTTCGTCTCACGCTGATGAGACAGCTTGAGAGCCCTCTCTGGATTTTCTTTATTCGAGTAAAATTTATGCAAGTTTGGTATTAAGAAGCTTGATGGCCTCTAATAAAGTGGAGCTTTTAAAAAAGCTGTAAACCCTTAATCCAGCCACGTTAGACAACTTTTTATTTAACAAAGGTTTCTATATTGCTAACAGACATTATAATAAAGGGAAAAAACAAAAAAACCAAAAAAAAACCAAAACATTTTGGCACTCAGAATTTACCAGTTGTATACTACATATTTAAAGCCTCACAACTTGAAGTTTTGAGCAATTTTGCAACAAAGGCACATGAAGACCTTTCAGTTCAAACAACATGCATTACAGAAAAGCCACAAATGGTGAACATTGCATTTTGTATGGCTTCTTTTATCTGAGAGCTTTACAAACTGACTCTGGGGAAGGAAGTGCTGATGCTTTCAGTGACTGTTTTCTAACTGACTTAGGTTGCATGTTTGTCAGCACACCAGTTGGCACGATTCAGTAGAACTGGCACGCTACTCGGAAGAGGCCAAGCCTTAAAATGGCAGGTCAAGTTTGAGAAGTATTGGCAGAGCTAAGGATGAGACATGTGCATAATACTCGTATCTGTAGCCAATGCTAGAACTCGTACTCCCTCGCATCTCTGAGTATGCGGTTGGCTTAAACCGTGTAAAAAAAATTAAAAACATAGCTATTTGAGTTAGAGCAATTAAACAATAAAATATTGGTTCTGACTACAGGGTCATCCAGCTTGCCTTGTCACCATTGAATGCTGTTTTGTTTTATTATAAGTTATTTTTTCTTCAATTAGAATTGAAGAGAGTAATTCCTGAAGTTTAATTGTCCTACAGGATTTTCAATTATGGGACGTCTGTAAGTGACAAAAAAAATATGATATCTTACAGACTTACCAAAGTGTTTTCAGACAAGAAATAAAACCACTAGAAACTGAACAGCAGCTTTTGATGTTTTGGTATGGAAGGTAGTGTCAAAAAGATCACTAAACTCAACCTTTGTTTTTTGGGAGAATTCAGAAGTTATTTGCTTATTTTATAAAATTCCTTAAAATATGTCTCACCACAATCTAGAGAGCTTGAAAAACCTTTATTGAAAAATAAAGCTTTCAAAATTAAAAACACTTGTGGAGTACAGGAACAAAGAAAATACAAAACAATGACAAGCTAAAGAATGGGAGTAAAGTAATTTAAAAAGTTTCTTGCTTGGTTTTGAGGAATTTAGATGGTGTGATAGTTCTATAAGCATGTCACGCAAAGTGGTAGTGTCCCTGGGATAAACTGCAGCTTCTGTGCACATTGCAAGTTTCTGCTGCTCTGAGCCTTCTTGTTAATTTTGTTTATGGTTTCTTCTTCCTGCGTATATATGGTGTACCACACTCTAAGGAAAAGACTATCACCTTTCTCCTTAGTGCACGGGGGAGAGTGCACAAACCATTCCTCCTTTTCTTTTTCTTCACAGCCCTGTCGTCCTCAGCACATATTTCTTTGACGTTACTGAATGCTGCTTTACAGTGCTGTTTGTAAGACCAAACAGAGAAATAGAGAAGCAGCATGTTCTTTCATCTTCTGAAGCCAGCCAGGGTGCCTGGCCACAGAGCACAGGGCATCACCCTACGTGGGCATGTAGTTCCAGCCTACCGGGTAGGTAGATCCCCTTCTGGATACTGAGCTCCTACATGAGACTGTTTGCTTAGACTTAGTTGCTCCTGAAATTATGTCTATCAGCCCTGTGCACTAGTGCCCTGAGTATGGAATCAGCACTTCAAAAATTAGGTATAGTAAAAGGAAGTTTGAGGACCAGTCTTTGGCCAACTGCATCTACAACTGCCAACTTGATAGTGGGCTAACATATTCTTCAATCTAATGACTGAAAAGAGAATAGACTCTGTGATTATTGGGTACATTACTAAAATTGTCAGATCAGATGAAAAAAAGATTGCATGGTGAAAGAATGGAATAAAATGAAAAGTTTGTTTCTTCTATGAATGCTGAGTTAAAGATTAAATACGTGCATCAAAGGGAACACATTTGAGGCTAGTGTTACTTGAAACTGAGTCCTTAGCAATGCAATCTAAATCTTCACTCAGCTTCATTTGTTCCTCAGGAGTTAGAGTCCTATGGAAAAAAGGAAAATCTGACAGAACAGCTATACAGCTTATACAAGCCAAATTTTGAAGTTTCACTGCAGGAGGCAATGTAAAATCTGTTGAGACTATCTCTAGAAGTACACCTACAGTTATACAACCCAGTTACGTAATTTATAGAAAGAGAATCAAGTCTGAAATTCTCTTAGCCTTCAGAAGTCCTTCTGTGATACCTGAGCACTCTGTTTACCTCTCTGCATGGAGAGCCTCATCTATTTGAGGCACAAATAGTTCAGTAGGGGGTAATAACGTAGGGGGTTGTTGGATCTGAAAGACTTTGATCTAATATTGATTAGATCAGCCAGTATCCTGGAAAAGGCAAAGTTCAGATTACTCTGTGGAGTTTGTTCATGACTCCAAGCGTGTGATTAGCCTATTATCTGTTGCTGAATTCTTGTTATTGAGGCTTTCTGCAGCAGAAGATTTTATGCACAGCTGTGTACAAAGCAGATTTTTTTTCCCAAGCATATGTAGTGTGACAGATGTGAGGATACAAAGTCACCTAAACATAGACCTCTAGTGCCACTTGAGACATTGTAGGGTCTTTGAGACATCCGCATGGGACTGGTGGATTTGGCAGAAGACCTAGAGGAGAGACCTTTACTAAAGTGGCAGCTGAAGGCCGGGCAAGATACCCTAGAGCATTTCAAATGGCCCTGTGTAGCTATGTTTAGGCACATTGAAGGAAGCCCTAAAAGCAGGGTTCAGTCATCATACCATTTCATATAGTCCACCAGGACTCCAGCTCTTCATGGGAAACTTGTGCTTTCCATGGATCAGTCCTGTGTCACATCTTGTGGATGTCTTAGGTACACAACTGCATCTCAAATGGTACTGTGTGCTTGTATTT